TGCGTCACTTCATTGAGAAATAGGTGCAACATATATTCACACTCCAGTGGCCCGAACCTGTTTTTTTTCTTACTTGTGAAACATATTTTTCTCCTCTCCTCTGTCACATCCTTCACTACAGAGTTCCAAACTGCCTCTGGAAGCAACATCAGCACAAGAAGCTGTTCATCAGGAGCTTCATGAAATGGGTTTCCAGGACTGAGCAGCAGCACACAAGCCTAAGGTCACTATGCGCAATACCAAGTGTCGACTGGACTGGAGTAAAACGCCGCCACTCCGCAAACCTCTGTCACTTTTATAAACGTTCACCTTTAAAGACGAGAATCCAGTTTCTTGACTTGTGAATCAAACTCATTCCCAAAACTGCACTTCACTGCTGTTAAAAGGGGTTAAACATACGACGACTAGAAAGAAAAAAAATAGAAATTAGAAAAATGCACTGCAAAAAATATTTTAGAAGTGAAAATATCTTAAATATAGCTAATAAATCTAATATCTTTCATTATGGGATTGTAGTTAGCTTACATCTCCACAAAAATGATACCTTAATGAGATAAATCATCTTAAATCTAGTCTAAATATCTAATATTTCTCATTTTGAGATGGTTGTACAAATATTATAAGGTTATTTAACCCATTTCTAGACATTGTTTACTTAGTAGTAGTAATAATTTACTTAAGTAAAATGATCTCACTATATTAGCTGATATTTTTGCTTGTTTTAAGCACATTTTTTAAAATAAGCACTTTTTTGCCTATTCAGTGAGATCATTTTACTCAATAAAATTACTCAGAAGAAGTAAATATGTCTAGAAATAAGTTAAATAATCTTTTTATGAGTTTACAATAATCTCATCGTGAGGAATATTAGATATATCAACTAGATTTAAGATGATTTCACTTGCAGAGACACAATTTTTGCAGTGTGTAAGATTATTTAACGTTTTCTAGACATTTTACTTTCCTTACTTTGTTCCACTGGCAGGTTATTTTACTTGTTTTGAGAAATAATGCTTAAATAAGTAAAATGATCTGCCAGTGGAACAAGACTCTTTCATAAGATAAAATGACCTAAAACAAGTAGAAATGTCTGAAATGAGGTAAATAATCGTATAATATTCTAACAACATATATACATAACATTATATTCACTAAGGCATCGTTTATTTCAGTGTGATCAGTAAGTGGGAGTTCAGCGGTCACTGCTGCAGTGGACGCAGCTGTTTACTGCAGTGTCCCAACACAGACGTGATGGCAGCCTTATGCAAGCATTAAGTCACTCTCTCAGTCTGACTCTCCGTGGCTCGTGTTGTGGCGCACTCGATGGTTATATAACAGAATTAGATTTGCCCGCCGCTGCCTGCTGTGCCGGGGTGAGGGAGGGGGGTCTCCGCTATCGACAGACAGACAGTCATCAGAGTGATGAATACTGGGCCAGGGCAGAGAGAGAGAGAGAGCGAGCGAGAGAGAGAGGGGAAACGAAAGGTTCTCCACTGCCGGATGATGCGTAAGGGAAATAACGGGGAGTTCCGCAGGCCGGGGGAATCCTGTCCACTGCTGACTGACCGATATTTAATCCACAGAGTGAAAAAGGACAACGCCAACACTGTACCGCCGGTGTCACAGACACTAAGACCTCAAGTCTGGATCAGCTTGTGTTAGGGATGGGCGATATGATGATGTAGTATCATTATCACAATAAATTACATTATAGTTAAGGCCAGCGCACACGGGACGAGTCGAGTCGAGTCAAGATTTATTTATACTAATTCTATTTAAGCAATAGAACACTAGAGGGAGTGTGTTATTGCAGAATAACATCACGGCTGTGATTTGGTCGCCCGTAGATCATCACAGCCGTGATGTTATTGGCGATAACACACTCCTCGAATGTTCTATTGCTTAAATACAACAGTTAAATAAATACAGTAATAAATTAATAAACTGGGTCGTGAACGCGGCGTTTAATATGTTTTAATGTTCGCAGTTCCTTCACCAAATTATAGCTCCTTAACGAGCAGCTCGTTGCTACGTCAGAGTAACGAGCTCCGCCCACTCGCTGCACAGCCGGCAGTTCGTTCTCCAGCTCCTTACACTAAATTCCCAAACTGTCATCACTACTGAGCAGCTTTTTTGTTTATTATTGTGTCAGTTTTATGGCTCAGTCTGATTTGGTCAGACTCTGAAGATCAGACTACACGTTTGGCGAATGGTGTTGGGTTAATTTCTGGCTGATTCCAGGTTGTTCAGCTGTTCTTCTGTCACAGCTGCCGACTGAAAAGCTGCTCAGTGGTGATGACAGTTTGGGAATTTAGTGTCGTCTCATCTTCAGAGTCTGACCAAATCGGCTGTCGGTCAAATGTGATCTTAAAAGTGTCCGTTTTCTGTTTGTGGCAAAGTAAGAAGTAAAAACGTTCAAATGTCTTGAGCGTCTCCTACAGCTGGCAAAGTCGTTGCTTAGCAACGGCATCTCAGCGGAGTGATACAGTGATATTGGTATTTGACGGTGTTTGATGTATGCAATAGTGTTGGATGGTGTTTGATGATGTTTGGTGTATGTGATGGTGTTTGATGTATGTGATGGTGTTTTATGGTATTTGATGTTACTTGATGGTGTTTGATGGTATTCGATAGTATTTGATGGTGTTTGATATGGATGATATTTCATGGTGTTTGGTGTATGTGATGGTATTTGATGGTGTTGGATGGTGTTTTATGGTGTTTCATGTATGCAATGGTGTTGGATAGTGTTTGGTGTATGTGATGGTGTTGGATGGTATTTGATAGTGTTTTATGGTGTTGGATGGCATTTGGTGGCGTTTTATGGTGTTTGGTGTATGTGATGGTGTTGGATGGCATTTGGTGGCGTTCTATGGTGTTTGGCGTATGTGATGGTGTTGGATGGTATTTCATTGTGTTTTATGGTATTTGGCGTATGTGATGGTGTTGGATGGTATTTTTTGGTGTTTCATGGTATTTTATGGTGTTCGAGGGTGTTTGTTGGTATTTGAAAGCTGTTGCAGTGCTGGGTTAAGTTGGGTTCCCTAACAATTCTGATGCACTGCTCGGTGAGCAGCTTCAGATGGTTTAATGTGAGTATGAAGTGGAACTGAACTAAGTCAGCAGTCGTACTGGAGGACCTGAGAGAAATAAGACTGATACAGAGTCTCTGTATCTGATTATTGTGAAAGGAAACTGAATCCTTGATACTTTGAGGTTTAAAATACTATATTTCCATATTTTCTTATTTTTTCAGATATGTAGACTGAAATTAAGAAGTAGCTGTTTACTTTTAAGCAATCTTATTAAGTAAATGTTGTTTACAAACTGGCAGATTATTTTGCGTGATATAAGCATTCAATATGATTTTTATAGTTTTTGTGAATGGCTTTTTTGCAGTGTAGATCAGCAGTGCTCTCTCTCTCTCTCTCTCTCTCTCTCTCTCTCTCTCTCTCTCTCTCTGTATGAATGTGGGTCTTGTGTTCACCCCACCTCATGCCAGTCTTGTGAGGGGAAATCACAGAATCACATTCCCCAAAACAGCTCCTGCCAACTGTGTGTTCCTCTGAGTGTGTGTGTGTGTGTGTGTGTGGGGTGGGGGTCTCCTGTGACCACGCCACTCTGAGTTAGTGGTCATGTGACAACTCAAAGAATGTTTAGGAGCTAATCACCGACTATTACTGTAACCCGGACTGAGAATCATTAAAAATGAACTACACTTCTTTCAACACCTTCTTTCAGCCTCTGTCTGCAGCGCCCCCTAGTGTCTGCACTCTGATCACCGCTACTCTCAGCCTAACCATCACTGGCGCTTCACTGGGAGCTGACGGATGTAGGAGCTGAACCACCTGTTGCTGATTTCAACACCACGATATTTGAGTGCCTTACCAAGATTTACAAAACCTCCACCTGCAGGCCGAACGCTTTATTACACCCTTCTGCAACCTGAGAACAGCTCAGCCAGTTTGCTTTGAAGTCCCTGTAGGTACTAAATAATGAGCCTTAGTATAGAATAAGCCTGAGATTTTAAGGGTGTTGATATTTAATAATTAAAAATGAAGGCCTATGTTTTGCAACTTAGGGCCCAATCCCATTTCACCCCTCGCCCCTGCCACTCAGCCCTACCCCTCCGTTTAGCGAGTTCACGACTAGGGGTAGGGTGTCCCGATTCTTGTTGAGATAGAGGGGTAGGGCGAAGTGTTGGGGCTGCATGACTCTCCAAATGGAGGTTTTTTAGACACTCCAAACAGAGAGTTATGAGAAAAAAAGAAAAACCGGCAAGATGGCTGAACAAGAGACCAAAGAGACCCACAAATGTGAGAATTTTTCTGTTAAAAATTACAATAACCATCATATTATCTTAGTTTAATGTCGTTTCAGTGTATTTTGGTCCTTTTCTTCATAACAAGCATAAAAAATCTCTAGTAGTGCTGATACTATTAGCATGCTGTCTCGGTGGCTAGCTAGCTAAATTTACCATTCCACCTTAAATAGTCCAGCAGTTCTGACGCCTGAAGCGCCAGAATGTAACTGCAACTCTATTTAAGGTGGAACGGGAAAATTTGAACAAGAATCTGGTGAATATCTGACTTCAGCTTCATATCACTGAGGAATTAGGGGTGGGTGATAATAAATAATTGCCCCCATCTTTGAAGTCATATGATGCCCTAAATGTAACTAAAGCCCAGCAGTGAGGAGCTGAACTTTACCCTCCTCTGCTGTCACTGCAGACTGGCAGGGTCGCCTACAGAGCAGCGCTGGTAGCTGTTAATGAAGTGATGCTCTTTTTATTTGAGGGTCCCATTTCAGAGGGAAGATCTCAACCACTACCCTGTAACTTCGGCAACACTCGAAAACAAGGGGTGGGGGTAAAACTGAGAAATGGGACTGGGCCTTGGTTTAACCTACTGTTAGCTTAGTACATGCTGTGTTACTGAACATACAATATCATTATACAATATTTAAATACTACAATGCTTAAACATGGAGAAAAGCATTAGTACATGTAACATTCTTTATTGATAAGCTTTCATATCATCTGAAAGAGAAAATGTGCAAAGTACAAAAGCGACATCAGTATAAAACAAACAGCTCTCCTTCAATGAGAAAAAGTAAAGGCACCTGCTTCTCTTTGGTCCAGGTTTAACAGACTACATGTGAATCAAGTTCGATAAGAGACTAAAAGAAGGCTGTACCAACACCCAGCATGAGTAACAGTGACTTCAGCGTGACTGAACGTAGTGCAAACATTACATAATAAACAGAAGATTATATATGGCGCCATAAAGCTCTTTTCCTTGATTTTGCATGTAATCACTTGTAGATGTCAGAATTATATAAACATAGAGTGTCATATACATATAAATCTAGTGTACATCTTGATTTATTTTGATTGTTTACTTGTTTTTTTTGGAGTAAAGGCAGCTTCCCAGAGAGCAAATGGACTCTGGGCAGATATTGGAGTGTAGATTTTTAGTTCAGATGTTTCTCTAATTCCTCCAAAGCGCACAGCTCACTTGTCCTGTCTAGGCTCCGCCCACAAAATGGTAAAAATCAAGCAAAATATAAAAAGTTAAGGAGCGTTATTAATCTCAGAAGATATTATTTGGTATGTGTGTCACACTTATCGAGGTGGAAAACTGTAATAGACACAGTACACCAGCAAAACTGCCACATTAAAAAACAGTTACATATTTTTGTAACATTGGACTTTGTAAGTATTTCTGGTGAAATATTAAAATGAAACTTTTATTTAAAATTTCATTAAAATTTTTTAAACTTTATTTTAGTTATTTTAACTTTTTAAACTACAGTTTTCCTTTTTTTATTCACTACCATTATCTTAATTACTATTATTAATTTAGCAACTTTAATGAAACTGTTCCTATAAAGGTCTTCCATTGTGTGAAACTATTTACTGAGGCAGGTTAAAGCCATTAGAAATTTGGGCTTGAAAGCAAAAATCTGAATTTGAAGGTAATCATTTTGAATCTGTGTCTGAAATTCATTCAATTGTACATCAATTGTTTTTGCTGGTAAAGCTGCTTTCACTGAAAATGTCATTTATCTGAAAATGCAAATTAATATAAAAATGTATTGTTCTTCTCAGAAATTGAGTTTCAGGTGTTAAATTTTACATCAATCCATAAAAAATTCAATTTCAGAACGGTGCACACTTAAAGATGGTTCTTTGAGGGTTCTTTAGTAAAGCAAATGGTTCTTTATAGAATAATGAACACTCAAAGAAACCTCTGCATGATTAAAGGGTTCATAAAGGGTGTGCATAAATGTGCTATAGATGCTTGAATATAGAACCTTTTTGAAAAGAATTCTAAAAAGGGTTCTTCTCTTGTTTCAAGCTATACATCATAACAATAGAAGGACCCTTCTGGGTGCTATACAGAATCAATTTCAAAAAGGTTCAATATAGAACCATCTAAAGCAAATATAGCACCAAAAAGGGTTCTTATAGCTTTAAGCTCTTCAAGCTAGACATTGTCACAACAGCAGAACCATTTCATGATGCAGGAAACCCTTTAATCATACAAAGGGCTCTTTGAGTGTTCATGGATCTTTATAGACCCATTTTCTTTACTAAAGAACCCTCTTTTTTAAGAGTGTGTGATACAGATTCAAAATAAAAGCATTCAAATTCAGATTTTTCAATTCAAATTTAAATTTCTAATGAGCTGAACTCTGTAAGCGAGTCCTTTCACACGCATACTAAATGAACATGATTTGAGATTAATCAGAGATTAGCCCACCCAGTGTCCCCGTCTGCACATTCTGTGAAGAAAAAAAAATCATCTGAATTTCTCACAGGGTTGTGTTTTGATTTGCATCGAGTTTAGTGTGTAACCACCTTTACACTGCTGATGGTCTGATAACCGATTGACCTCTGGGCTGAAAGTAAAGGGGTGTTCTGGGTTGTGGGTTTGGTTTTAGTTTGAATTTCTCCCCTCAAACCATCTCTCAGAAGATACATGCTCAGATGAGAGGTCAGGTGGGCTGAAACCTGCAGTGGTTTTTGGCGTTTAGCTGAAGTCTCGGTCAGGGAGGATCAGAGGAGCCACGAGGGTCCAGAGATACAGCGCTAAGGCCAGCCAGCTGGAGCTGATCTTCACCCACACCGCCGGCATAGTGCTCTGCATGGCCTGGTAGTCTGAGTTAGGCCTTTGAGAGAGAGAGAGAGAGAGAGAGAGAGAGAGAGAGAGAGAGAGAGAGAGAGAGAGAGGTGTTTACGACTAGTATGTCTTTAATTTAGCTTTGAATTGAAATTTAACCTTATTGTTTTAGCTTCTTTCTATTAGTACATTTAATCTTCATTTATTTAATCTTATTTTCATTTATTACTGAACATTATCACTAGTTTGTAAAGCACTTTAAGCTTCTGCTTGTATTAAAAGTACTCTACATATAAATCTATTGTTATTATAGTGGGGTAAATATATAATATTGCATGCGTTTAACACAATATGTAAGCAAATTTTCTCTATTTGAATCATGATATTTCATTTTTTGGTGTGATTAATTGGAACAGACATAGTACATCAGCAAAACAGTGTCACATAAAAAAGCTATATATTTTCTTGTTACATTGAACATTATTTTATAAGTACAAACCCATTTCCAAACAAGTTGGGACGCTGTGCAGAATGTAAATAAAAAAAGGGATACAACAATATGCAAATCATGTAAACTATGTTTTTAAAGGAAAATACTACAAAGACAACATATCAAATGTTGAAACTAAGAAATGTAATTGTTTTTTGAAAAATATTTGGCCATTTTGAATTTGATGCAAACAACACGTTCCAAAAAAGTTGGGACTGATAAGTTGTTATCAGTGGTGACAGGTCTGGACTGCAGGCAGGTCAGTTTAGCACCCGGACTCTTTTAATACAGAGCAATGCTGCTGTAATACATGCAGAATGTGGTTTTACATTGTCCTGCTGAAATAATCAAGGCCTTGGGCTCAAAGATTACAGCAAGCAAATACTGGTTTTGGCCTTGTCCCTTACATACAGAGATTTCTCCAGATTCTCTGAGTCTTTTAATGATATTAAGTACCGTAGATGATGAAAAGCAGAAGTTCTTTGCTGTTTTATGTTGAGAAACGTTTTTCTTGAATTGTTGCACTATTTGATGGTGCAGTCTTTCACAGAGTGGTGAACCCCTCCTCACCTTTACTTCTGAAAGACTCAATATTAAAATAAAACTTTTATTTTTTGACTTTTTGTTTTACAGTTATGATAGCTTTTTTTAAAACTACAATTTCATGTTGTATGTACCACCATTATATCTTAATTACTATTTTTAAGGAATTTTAATTAAATTATTTATTTATTTTGGGGGTTATATTATAAGGAGCCACCTGACACGGTCATAAGATGATGACGCAGTTTCAGGGTCTTGTTTGTGCGAAACTAGCTGTGGAGCAGCTGGTACTGAAGATGAACAACTGTAATATTTTCCGTGTCTCTAGAAGCGCCGGCTAGTGAGTGGTGGGGGTCGTGTACGGGTCAAACACATAGGACAAATGATGAAGCGGAATTTGGCTACTTATTAGAATTTTCCGCTCCACCTTAAATGGTGCAGGCGCCTGTACAGGTTCCAGAAAGTAACTGCTGCTCTATTTAAGGTGGAATTAAAAATTAGAAGCTTTTAGTTTTGTAGAAATTAAAGTGTGAAACACACAGCGTTACTTTTACCGGCCTGTGGGGCTGGGAGTTAGAAACACACTGACAGGTTTATCTACATATTGATCAGTTTTGTTTTTACAATTTTGCACAATAAAAATATTTTAGATTTACTTAACTAAAAACGGTACTTATTTATTGACGTCCCAGAAGGATAATCTTAAACTGTATAAGACTGTACATATTGTGCTGGTTTCAACGTTCATAGGTCTGTCTATCTGTCTGTCTGCCTGTCTATCTGTCTGTCTGTCTATCTATCTAACAAGCCACTGATAACTTACAAACATAGGTTTACTTAAGCATCAAAAATGCTTTTGTTCGGGGAAAAAAATAATAATAAATGCTGTCCAAAGACAATCATGTATCTCCTTTTGTGTCAATTTTTATTTTCTACATTATGTGAGCACAGCAGTTATTCTTTATGTTGAAAAAAACATTTTTAAAAATTGTGAAAATAATGTCACTGATGGACCAACAGAAATGCTGTAAAGTTTTCTTTATTTTTAAGATATATGTTTCTCTTTGGACAGCAACTATATATATATATATATATATATATATATATATATATATAATTATATATATATATATATATATATATATATATATAATTATATACACACACACACACACACATATATATATATACATATATATATATATATACACATATATGTATGCATTTTAAGCTTCTACTTGTATGAAAAGCACTCTACTATTGTTATTATTGTCATTATAGTGGGGTAACACAATGTGTAAGCAAATTTTCTCAATTTGAATCATATTTCATATTTTGGTGTGATTAATTGGAACAGACACAGTACACCAGCAAAATAGTCACATTCTTTTTTAAAAGCTATATATTTTCTTGTAACATTGGACACTGTTTTATAAGTATTTCTCATTAAATATTAAAACTTTTATTTTTTAACTTACTGTTTTACAGTTTGACAGCTTTTTCAGCCAAACTTTCATGTTTTATTTACTACCATTATATCTTAATTACTATTTTTTAAGGAATTTTAATTAAATTGTTTATTTATTTATCTATTATTCTAAGGAGCTATTCTAAGAATTCTAAATGATTCTAGTCAAGATGTCCAGCCCTGGACGAGATACTCACTGATACCAGTTAGTGAGAGTCATCATAATGTAGAGAGACGCCAAGATGAGACAGAAGTGGAAGAAAGAGTAGCTGTAGGTCACTCCGTCCTCCTCGTTATCCATAGCACGTCTCACTCCGTCCTCGTCCGCCGGCGTCTCCACGTCCGCTGCCAGGCCCTGGCTCTCCTCCGTCTGCATCAGTCTATTCACCTGAGAGTTATTGGACGAGCGGATGCTGCCAGACACAGAGAGAGAGGACAGGAACGACTCAGAACTGGAAGAGAACCTGCTGCAGTCCTGAAGAGCCACAGCATCCATCAGATAACTATCAAACACTTCATGGACCAAAAGAGATGTTAGAGAATATATTAGAGTTATTAGAGTTAGAGTTTAACTGACTACTGTAAACACTGTTACAAAAGTAATGAAGTGTAACTAAAGTAACAACAGTAATGTAACAAAATAAGTAATAACAAAAAAAGAATTTGATTTACAACATGCACACAACGTCATAGTTACTCTTTAAATGTAAACCAAGCTGCAAAAACAGCCCGTTTTGAATTCATCATGGTTGTGACATCATAACAATAAACAAATGGTCACTGATTCAGCCTAAAGTAGTTTAGAGCGACCCATTCAACCTATAGCAGTTTAGCCCCACCCAATCAGCCTACAGCAATTTAGCCCCGCCCACTAAGCCTGCAGCAGTTTAGCTCCCACCCATTCAACCTATAGTAATTTAGCCCCACCCATTCAGCCTACAGCAATTTAGCCCCGCCCACTAAGCCTGCAGCAGTTTAGCCCCACCCATTCAACCTATAGTAATTTAGCTCCACCCATTCAACCTATAGCAATTTAGCCCCACCCATTCAGCCTGCAGCAGTTTAGCCCCGCCCATTCAGCCTACAACAGTTTAGCCCCACCATTCAGCCTACAGCAATTTAGCCCCGCCCATTCAGCCTACAGCGGTTTAGCCCCACCCATTCAGCTTACAGCAATTTAGCTCCACCCATTCAGCATACAGCAGTTTAGCCCCGCCCATTCACCCTGCAGCAGTTTAGCCCCACCCACTTAATTCTAAAGCATAAAGAAAGGTTGGAAAGCCATCATGTAGAAATGAAATACTGCACTGAGTCTCTAAATCCACTCAAACCTGTTAAGCAGACTTAATGAGAATGTAGGATACAGGCCCTTTAAATCCTGCGGTGCTACAGCTCTTCAAGGCACACAGCTCGACACCACAGGTCTAGATGGAGCTCACCTGGCATACAGAGTGCAGAAGAGGAAGATGACGAGCCCCACGATGCCCTGAGCGTCCCACCACTGTACCTGCCCGGGGGCGATGGTGGGGGTGGGGGCAGTGGTGGGGTTGTTAGTGACCAGCTGCAGCAGGCTGGGGTTACACTTACGGTCTGAAAACAAAGAGGACGGAGGATGAAGACAAATATAAACATCAATCTTCCGCACATAGAGAAATAAATAAACCAGATAAAACTGCACTCCACAGCCAACAGAGCGTTTACCAATGGAACGACATAATTTACAATTTCTCACTAAAGCAATGAGATCCATAAATATGACGTTTGTTTTTTATGGGAACAGAAGGACGAAGAGGCTCCTGACTTAACAGGGAACAACTTAACACAATTTGATTTTGGACAAATTATTTAAAATGATCACAGCAAGATTGATCATGTCTACACATTACACTAAAAATGAAAATATCAAATCTGTTTCCAGCTCCTACTTTTTTTTCTGAACAACTCAGCTGAGTGTAATAAAGTACATAAAGCTATGTTTATTAGTGATTCCTGCTTAAGGCTAGGAGTAAAAATACCACATACAGCCGGTGGGTAAGGCTATGCCAACTCACTGAGGGCCTGGCAGCTCATGCCATGGATTTCCATGAAATAAATATTATTCTCATTATTCTTCTTATTATTGTTGTTGATGTTTTTACCTCTAATATCCCCAACATTCTATTGCATTTAATTTAATTTTAACTATGCTACACTGAACTACTGTTCAATTCAAGGGTCGGCAACATGCAGCTCTGGAGCCCCTTGTGGCTCTTTTACTGCCCTGTTGGCTTCACAGCTGAATCAGATTAGTAGGTAAAAATAAAATAATCCTCCTTTACAGTAAAATAAAGCTCTGCTGATCGTTCAACACAGTTTAACAATAAATGGTCTTAAACTCTGGAGTTAATGTAGAACTGCTGATTCACCCTTTAACCCTGAAGATCAGCACAGACTGCTGGTCACCATAGCAACACAGACAACAGTCTCACCTAGCTAGTAGCTAACGAAACGGCAAAGAGAGAGATTTAAGATGAACATCGATAATTTAGGGATGAACGGACTTATTAGTGTTTATAATCACTCCAGCTGGTTTCCTGATACGTTTAATCTGCAGCGAGAAACGGTCAAACACTAAAAAGTCACAAGGCTGAAGTCGCTTCTCATTCAAATTTTCCCAGTCCACCTTAAATGGTTCAGCAGTTACATTCTGGCGCCCCAGGCACCATTTAAGGTGGAACGGGAATATTCGAACAAGAAGCTGGAGAATGAGAAGCGACTTCAGCCTCGTAAAAAGTTGAACAAGAAAATGTTCTACTTTTGCCGAATAGTTTCCTGCCGGAGATGCGAGAAAAGCGGCTATAGCTAAGCTAAAGCTTAAAGCAGAGCTTTGTCTGCGTTTTCGTTTATATCTTTAGCCTATACTAGTACATCAGCACACATTGAGTCATATTTACAGCCAAGATGGTAAAATGTTACTTCAATAAAAGGAACATAAAATCTTGTGGCTCCCAAGGTGGATAGATTTTTGTTCAAAGGACAAAATGGCTCTTTTTAACATTCGGGTTGCAGCCCCTGGTTTAATTAATAGCCCAGTTAACCACTGCCAAAAATCTAAAGGCCTGAATAGTCTATCGAAAACTTAGTAGTAATTTGTATTTTAAATATTGCACAGCTGTATGGTATGGCAGCAAACTGATGTGTGTATGTGCGTTTGCGTTTCTGTGTATAACGGCTGTTTAGTGCTTCTGATGTTCTGTTTTCAATGTCTTAATGACTCAGACATATTAAAAGAGGAACGGCTGCCTATTTGCGATTGCATTTCCCCGTTGCTGCACTTCAGCCCTGCCAAAATTTAAAATGATCTGCAATGCTGTTTGCAATTGCACTTTCACTGCCAGCGAGGGTTCCTGTCAATCAAATGCTGTGGGTGGGAGGTCGGGAGGGGCTTTTCAGTCCAGGCTGTGTTTTAAGAGAAAGTGATGAAAAAGTCTAAATTCTGGCGGTACAGGAGCATCAGAAACCGCCGCTGTGACATCTGAACACTCGCCAATCAGGCCGAGGAAAGTTCTGTCCAAAAATCAACATTTTGAGAAAATAAGTCATTATTTTGAGTTAGTAAGTGACCTACTGGTGCCAGAAACAAGAAAGGAGAAAACTTTAATTTTACATCTCTAATTTTCTAGAAATATTGACTTAAAATCTCAAAATATTGACCAAGTATCTCAAAACAATGACTTAGTATCCCATTATTTATTTATTTATTTATTTATTTATTTTTAATTTTTACACGATGTTCTCCCCAATTTAGTCGTTTCCAATTCCACCCGCTAGTTAGGACTCCCCCAGTCACATGATGCTATCAACGCTAGGAGGGTGAAGGCTAACACAGGCTTCCTCCGAGACCTGTGAAGCCAGCCACCGCTTCTTTTCGAGCTGCCGCTCACGCAACGTCACTGGACAGCCGAACGCGCTCGGAGGAAAGCGCCAACCGCCAGATCTGTTACGTCAGCTAACAGACGCCTGCGCCGACTAGCATCGTGCTGAGTGATGGGGGGAGAAGGAGGGGCCATCCTACCCACCCAGAGAGAGCGAGGCCAATTGTGCTCTCTCGGACTCCCGGCTACGGACGGCTGTAGCATCACCAGGGATCGAACTCGCGATCTCCTGATGATGGGGCCAACGCTTACACGGTTGCGCCACTCGGGAGCCCCCAGTATCCCATTATAATTAGTTTCCAAAAATAATTACTTACTTCCTTGATGTCTAATAACTCATTTTGACATACTCTCTCAATATTTCAGGATAATAAGTTTTGAGATATTTGGTAACATTTCTAGATAAATGAGTCATTTTAGAGACATAAAAATCAATATTTTAAAAATTCATTATTTCAAGATAAGTCACCATTTTCCACCTACTGCTGCCAGAAACAAAAAAAAAGAAAAATATGACTGTATATCTCTAAAATGATTCATTTTCTAGAAATTTTGACTTAAAATCTCAAAAAAATGACTTGGTATTTCAAAATCTCGGTGCCTGAGATAATATGTCAAAATGATGAGTTATTAAATTTGAACTAATGAATCATCCACAGCACTGCGTTAAATCCAGTTGAACAGGACTACTTTAGGCTCTCTTTACAATGAAATATATAGCCGGTCAGTTCAAATATTGATTATGTCTATGAAATGCTGAGAAAAGCATTCTGTGATGTAATTTATCAAGATAGCGATAAAACACGGTCATATTGCCCACCCCTCGTCACCACCTCGTCAGTGTCAGTGCTGTCGTCCACCACCCAAATAATATCTACTCAGTGGTGGACCTGTGGTGGCCCATTTCCACTGATGAGTGGGGTAGAGGGGGGATGATAACCTGTGCTGGAGCAGATGAGCTGCAGTCTGTAATAGTAAATCTACAACCTGCACCTATACGGTAGGCGTTTCTGATAAAATGGCCAATGAACGTAGCTACAAGGTAGGTGGACGCAATCAGCCGCCAGCTCACTGTAAGTACAGAGCGTCTTCATGCCTGTTTCTTCCACTGTGCTGAACAACAACTCTGCAAACTACATCTAAATGAGAGGCTTATTATTCCCCATCTAGTTTCAGTGCATCTGAGGCAGCTCTGACCATAGCAACCATTTCTGTCTGCTTAGTAACGGATGCTCTCAGAGAGAACTCGCTTCTATTTTGAGAGCAAAGAAAGTTATTTCCTTTCATTTTTGTACTCTTAGTGCAAAACAAATTGTGCTTCATACACAGAATGGCACTTTAGACCTTCAGTGGAGTTTTGTGACAGCCAATCAGAATCTGTCACACTTAAACAGTCAAACTCAATTACTTAATTATCATTTAAAACTGTCCTTAGCTGAGTCTGCAGTGATTCGCTGGCTTTTTGCATGATGGCAATGCTGTTCAAATCTTCTCACATATTAAGAGAGAGTCTGACAGACACTTTTATTCAGATATTTACGTGTTTGTTTGTTTTTTTTGCCAAAAAGTGCTTATATTTTCAAAAGCCTTCCTAGTTCATCTTTGAAAGGCTCTGCATGGGTTGTTACTGTTCAGTTAAGACCATATTTTTGGATTTTTTAAAAGGATTACTCATTTAATTGTCTAAATATTTTCCTGAAATATCTTATCTCTGAAATCTGATCTGTTTAGTCTCCATGACGACTGAATTTCGGACAGTAGCTGTTCCAGAATAACAGTTCCTAACTTCATAATCTCATCATGAACTCCAGATAAGAAAACAGCATCACACAAACATCCTAACTAGACTAAACCTCCTAAATCCTGTCCTAACTTTAGGATGAACCCCAACAGGGTCCTCACTTCTGTTTAAGGTCCGTTTCTATGGTTTTTAGGCAGCTGAGTCAGCAGCATAGTTCACTACCAGCATAATGAGCTCCATTTATTTCTACTGTAAAACGCTGCTTTCACTGTGAGATGATTTTCTTTTCTAACTCTGCGTTTTAAAGATCTCAGACGCTGCAGACTCGATCTCCACCGCCCCTCTGATCACCTTCGTGTGTTAATGTTGATGATGAAATATTACAGTGATGGTGGTGAATAATGAGGAGGCGGAGCTGAACGTGTGTCTGTTTATTAGGAGGAGTAACGTTAGCGCGCTCGGCTAAAGCGTTTGGGAAATGGAGACTGAAACTGGGGAGCGGCGACGCTCTGATAAACAGCAGGGGGCGCTCTCACAGTATTCACAGCTTACAGTTTATCACACTTTAGTTTTGTTTGACCTTTTTACATCAGTAACAGCAGCTTAATCTATATTATAACACTATTTTGATTACATGTTTTTGTTTCAGCTGTGTGTGTATGGTAGGTTGCTAGGAAACGGACATGACAGTTGATTGACTTTGATTGAGTAGGTTAATTGTCCTAACTGGAGATAAGATGCCGTAAGATAAGATAAAATTCCTAAATTAAGATCAGATTTGCTTCTGTAATACAAATTTGTGAAAAATCTTATCTTGACCTGTCAGATCTCAACTTAGGACAAAAAGATAGGAGGTTTCTGTAATACAGCCACTGATTATATATTACATGTATAATCAATAGCGACAGCCCTACACCCAAAATGAACAAAAAGGAACGAAGCTAAACAGCATTACAACCACATAACAACAGCACATTAGGCAGATTAAAGTGGCTATGGAGATGCGCTCCAGTTGTCTGAGCGTGACTTACTGGGGTTGTTGGTCATGGCGGACCAGGTGAGGTACATGGTGTACAGCGAGATGAGAGACGACTGAAGCAGACCAGAGCTTGGTTGGGCTTCCTGGAGCATATACATACACAAAGACATACAAAATGGAAGATCAATAATGTTTTCTTCAGAAAACGTATAAATAAAGTATCACAGACAACATAATAACCCAATTAGATCACCTGGATGAAGACTAAGCCTATTGTAATGCTGGATAATCACAACTGAAAGTCATTTAATCCCCAACTATACTATACTAAACTATACTTAAAGGGGAATTCCAGGAATTTTCCAAAATTACTGCAAAATTAAATGGTTAGGTTGCAAACAAAATCATTCAGAGAGTGGTTTGGTGTGAAGTCAGAATTGTTTACAGTGGTGGTGATGGGAACCAGACGTCTGAAGAGATTAATGCCTCTGAAATTCCCTCACAGAAAGTTGTTATAGTGTCATTCTGAACACCTACAAATATTTTACTATTTTATCCATATTATAATAAATGTAAATACATCAAACAATGAAATAACACTTACGGATTTATGCAGTGAGCATATTAAAAAAAATGAAATGTGAAAGTTGGAAGTAAATAAATACTAAATAAATAAATAAATAATATGCATGACCTGCACGACTTATATGTTTTGTCACCAGCTTTTCAAGGATTTATGCATAAGCATGTAGTTAAGAACATCTTTAAGATCATGAAAAACACTTTTTTCACTAGTATGCAATTAGCAAAAGTGCTTCTATATGGCACAAAGAAAAGGTTCTACGGCTTGTAACACTAGCAGAACCATTTTTGGTGCTTTATTGAATTGTTTTTTTTAAATTGCTCTTTAAGAAACCATATAAAACAGGTTTTCCATCTTAGAGAGGAACAATTTATGCACTCAAATGATTCTTTAAGTGTTCCCAGTTCTATATATACACTTGTTGGCTTTACTTAAGGACCCTTAAAGAACCATTTTTTAAAGCACTCAGTGTACATGAAATGATTATGAAAATGCTGCCTGGTGTCTAAGATGTTTTAGAAGATTCTGGATGTAAAACATTTATTTTTGCTAAGATTTTGGCCTAAAATATATTTTAAACTCCATTTATGGTGGAGGGATACATAATATGTAGGGTGTTATGAGGCGAAATAGTCCCCAAAGAAAACTTATTATTTCAGATTTTCCACTATTTTCCATCATCAACATTTCATATAAACTCAGAAGACTCGTGTAGGTTCACTGGTGGTTCTGGATAGTAAATAAAATGTCTATATCTGTGTTGTAGTCATGGCGACCCCTGGGTCCTATCACCACCACTGTAAAGACATCTGAACCATTTCACACCAAACCACTAACCTATATCTGCCACATCTATACAGTATATTCAATGCATTTGCTTGTACTTCGTAAACCTGATATTCCTTTAAGCTGTGCTGAGTAAATAACAATCCTGGTGCTTGTGAGACAGAGACAGAGCACACTACCTGAACTTTAGGGAGAATGGAGACCACAGACACGATGATGCAGAAGATGAAGTTGAGGCTGATGAAGACTTTGTGTTCAGTGCAGTCGTCCGGCTGAGTGTAGAACACATAGAACAGCACCATCGCAGCGAAGGCACACACATAGTGCAGAACAGTGAAGGACAGCAGGGCTGCAGACAAACACTATTAGTTTTAGTTTTAGGCCATTAGCTATGAGCCTTTCTGCTGTTAAAAACAGAAAGAGGTAGATTATTTTGGAATACATTCTTCTACCTTCCAAAATGTAAAAGAAGCTTCCACATAAATGACATGAAACATGTTTCATTTTTAGCCATTTAGCTCTCTCTTACTCACTGAGGACTCCTTCTGGCACCCTGGGGCGTTCTAAGTCATATTTTTGGTATAATGGGAGAAACAGAAAGTGGCGCCCCGGAAACCAGCTCTGGTATCGTCTTCAGAAAACAGAGGCTGCGTTCACATTACCAGGTTGAGGTGGCACAAATCTGATCTTTTGCCCTAATGTGACTCAGATCTGATGTTTTCAGGGCTGTGTGGACACAAATCTGATCTTTTGAAATCTGACCTGAGTCACTTTCATATGTGGTCCTAGATCAGATACGTATCCGATTCGTGTCCGTGTGACCTTGATGTGACGCTCAGATCAGAATTCATGTGCTTTTTTTCCACTGCACTGCACCATCATTCAGCGTTACCATGGCAGCAGCGCCAAACCGAAGTTAAAGCCTGTAAACGGTGGAAAAGCAGCTCATCTCACCTTTTTCTCCTTCGTCTCGCTCTAATAATGAAGCTGAGAGCTGATCAGAGTTAATTATCTTCTCAGCGAAGCTCGTTCTGCTCGTTAGTTTGTGCTGATGATGAACGTGATTCATTCACGTGACGTTACTGAGTAGGATGAGCTCATGAGGGTCATTTCAGGACGCCGGTTCGTCACATTAATGACAGATTTGAGTCACTTACCTAAACGAGTGTGAACCATCCTGTCAGAGAGATCGGATTTGAGCAAAAAATCAGATTTGAGCAGAAGTGTGTTCTCTGTAGTGGGTGTGCTAATTTATTCACACTCTGAAAATTAACAACAACATGGAACTTGGCCAAGGGCGCCTAAACTTTTGCATACGTGTTTCAGAATCTTGTGGGCCATCTTTGTTGCTATTATTATTATTGTTAAGTGCCGTCAAGTCGTCAAATCTGAGACTCTACAATCAACCATTTTGCACTAAACCACCCTGAATGACTCATTTAGAGTTAACATCTCAACCATTCAATTATGCAAAAATTTTGATAGACTGGTGGGATTTCCCTTCAAGGCATGCTATCTTCTAGTAGCGTGGAAGATGAAGAACCTCTATCTGTTAAGTTCTGTTGAAAACTCTTTTTTACCTCGTGATAAACAGGTCAGACGTGACACTGGAAGAACTTCACCACTCACAGCGTAACGAGGGTTTAGCCACAGTTCAGGACTCTGATCGTACCTGCATACCAGCACCTGCTCCCATCCTCAGCGTTCTCCACCCATCTCTGGTTCCAGGTATGAGCGAAGTCCACCAGGAGGATCAACTGGATCACGATGAAGATAAAGGAGCCCACCACACCGAAGTAGTACCACACTGAAACGGTTACAGAATTAAGGTGCCACAACATTAGAACTGTACAGAGAAACCATGGCTGTGATATGACTGATACAGTATTATCATCAGAGCTGGGCGATATGACTAACATGTAATTGTTACTAGGGGTGGGAGATATGGCAAAAATATAATATCACAATAGTTTTCACACAATGTTCAGTTTATTCTGAGGTGTGATAAGTTGACACAGACAAAAATTAACCAGTACAAAAACACAAAATACCTGTTAAAAATTACTATAAAAAAATATCAATACATTGGGTCACTGACTCACCAACGTTCTCTTATTTTGGATTTGTTCTTAGGTAAGAACAAAATCTACACACACAAAGGTGAGAACAGTTCTGCGCTTTAAGAACACATCATGAATCTGACGTTGACTTTTTCTTACGAACTTTCTCAAGAACAAACATAGGAAGATGCTGGAGAACGAGGCTCAGTCATTTTTATTTAACTTTATTTTAGGGCTACCATTTTTTGGGCTCCGGAGTTTCGGGCAGTAATCAACAGTGAATATTCGAAGCTTTACCCAGCAGGGGTGGGGGGGTGGTTGGGTTGGAGAGGCTTGAGAAAGTGGTTCTGAAAAATCTGTGTCCGACGCCGGTGTTGAAAGCGCATCCGTGGCTTCGTCCGAATCTCCAGGCTGGCTGCTTACACAGCGCAGCTTCACTCTGTCTGCCAGGCTCTCTAGCCCTCTTAGCAGTGGGCTTGGGGGGTAACAGCACAGAGCATGCTCAGGTTACCCAGCGCTTCACGAAAGGTATGAAGGGCAACATCGCGGCCCAAGTAAGGGTCCAGTACGGCGGCGGCACGGCGAATACATGCTGTCTAGCACTGAGCTAGGGTGATGTTCACTGCTGTGAGTGATGATGTCAGGCGCCCGAGCTGAGACGGTTTATATTTAGACATTTTAACAGTGAGATTAAAAAGTACAAATATTATACAAGAGTGTGCTGACAGAACGCTCTGTGTCCGCACGTCGCGCTGTAAGTAGTTCAGGTTTTTTTACAAGGACTTTTATGTTGAAGGGCCTGAATGTGGGGGGAGTGGTGGGTTTTCCAGAGCAGAGCAGAGGGCTGTGTTCTTAGCTGATAGCCCTGGAGAGACTGTTACTTTTCCGTTTTCCATCCATCCATCATCTAAACCGCTTATCCTTCTGGGTCACGGTGGGGTGCTGGAGCCTATCCCAGCTGTCATTGGGCGGAAGGCAGGATACACCCTGGACAGGCCGCCAGTCCATCGCAGGGCAGACAGACAGACATACACAATCACACACACTAGGGGCAATTCAGCATGTCCAATTGGCCTGACTGCATGTTTTTGGACCGTGGGAGGAAACCGGAGCACCCAGAGGAAACCCACGCAGACACAGGGAGAACATGCAAACTCCACACAGAAATGACCCTGGTCGCCCGGCTGGGAATCGAACCCAGCCATTCTTGCTGTGAGGCAACAGCGCTACCCACTGCGCCACCGTGCTGCCCCACATTTTTAACAGATACCCGTAAATGAGCTCTGTTCTGATTGGCTTCATCATTCAAAAAGCAGGCAGAAGCACTCCTTATAACTTCAGTGGGAGTGGGCGGGCTAAACTACTGTGGGCTGAGTGGGCGGAGCTAAACTCCTGCAGGCTGAATGTGTAATTCTGCTGGTTTTCATGACATCACAAAAACAATGAATTCAAAATGAGCTGTTTTTGCAGTGTAGTTTCCACAGGTGGATTGTAAGGAGTGGGGAGTGAATGGTTTGAAACTTTAACAATGTTTACAAACTACATCAAAGTTTTTTATTGTTTAAAACAAAAAGATTTGGGTTTCTATGATGGGGGGCCTTTAAGGGCAGTAATTCTCCCAACTCAGTCTTCGGAGCCCCCCAGACAATCCACATTTTTGCCACAGCCCAATGTGCAACAGGTAGGGTTGGAGGAAAAACGTGGACTATCTGGGAGGCTCTGCAGACCGCGATGGGAACCAGGGGTCTAATATAATTACATTGTTCTGCTGGCAGATAATCATGCTTATTTTGCTAAGTAACAATAAGTATCTGCCAAGAAAATAAGACAGTTTCAAAATAAACAATTACTCAAAGCAAGAAAAGATGTCAATAAATAAGTTTATCTTTCTAATCTCATAATATCCTTATAAATTATAGATTCAGTTTCCAAAATGTCACTTTCTGTGGAAAAAACAAACTGAAAATGCTATTTTCTAAAAAGGAAAAAATATATACCTGTGTTAAACGTCCCATCAGGAATGAAGAAAGCTCCTACAGTTATTCCAACCAGTATCAGGAACTTGAAGAACCAGAATCTGAAGGACACATATACACAGTCAGGGTAAAAAAAACTTCCCAAAATGCTGATTATTATTATCTTTAGTAATTCTAATTGAACAGCTTCATGAATTTCCCTAAACACTGCAAAAGCTGGCATCTTGGTGAGTGAAATGATATTAAATGTAGTCGATTAATCTAATACTTCTCATTTTTAGATTGTTAGAATATTAAGATTATTGTAGAATATATTATAAGATCACGCACATATAAAAAAGATGGTTCTTTAAGGGTTCTTCAGTAGAGAAAATGTGTCTAAATAGAACCATGAACACTCAAAGTGCCGTCTGCATGATTAAAGTGTTCTTTTCACCCTGATAGGGTTCCTCAGATTAATGGAGAATGTGCTGAAGATGGTTCTAAATAGAAAAACTGCTTCTGCTATTGCAACAAGCATGACATGTTAACAACAGAAGAACCTTTTTGGGTGCTATATAGAACCCTTTTTGAAGAAAATTCTATTTAGAACCATCAACAGCACGTTCTCCATCAATCTGAAAAACACTTTCAGGATGCAAAGAACCCTTTAAGCATACAAAGTGGTGATGGTTCTATACAAAACAATTTGGACCCTTGGAGAACCATCTTTTTAAGAGTGTACTGTTAGACACACTTTACTTATTTTAGGTGATTTTAGTAAATCCAACTGTCTGCCAAAACAGTGAGATAATTAAAAAAATTGTATAAATGTCTAGAAATTAGGTAAATACTCTTTTAATATTCTTTTAGAATTAGATTTAAGATAATTTCCCTCACCATGATACTATTTTTTGCAGTGTAAAGAAAGCACAATTCCCAGTGCTGAGCCACCAGAGGGCAGCAGTGTTACTCAAACTATACTGGAACCTACTAGAGTCAGACAGAGCACTGTGTACACACATACACACCAATCAGGCATAACATTATGACCAGAAATATGTCCTTGTTTCTACACTCATTGTCCATTTTATCAGCTCCACTTACTATATAGGTGCACTTTTATAGTTCTACAGTTACAGACTTTGTTAGCCCCCTTTTACCCTGTTCTTCAGTGGTCAGGACCCCCATGGACCCTCACAGAGCAGGTACTATTTGGGTGGTGGATCATTCTCAGCACTGCAGTGACACTGACGTGGTGGTGGTGTGTTAGTGTGTGTTGTGCTGGTGCGAGTGGATCAGACACAGCAGTGCTGCTGGAGTTTTTAAACACTGTGTCCACTCACTGTCCACTCTATTAGACACTCCTACCTTGTCAGTCCACCTTGTAGATGTAAAGTCAGAGACGATAGCTCATCTGCTGCTGCACAGTTTGTGTTGGTCATCCTCTAGTCCTTCATCAGTGGTCACAGGACGCTGCCCACAGGACGCTGTTGGCTGGATATTTTTGGTTGGTGGACTATTCTCAGTCCAGCAGTGACACTGAGGTGTTTAAAAACTCCAGCAGTACTGCTGTGTCTGATCCACTCAGACCAGCACAACACACACTAACACACCACCACCATGTCAGTGTTACTGCAGTGCTGAGAATGATCCACCACCCAAATAGTACCTGCTCTGTGAGGGTCCATGGGGGTCCTGACCACTGAAGAACAGGGTAAAAGGGGGCTAACAAAGTCTGTAACTGTAGAACTACAAAGTGCACCTATATAGTAAGTGGAGCTGATAAAATGGACAATGAGTCCGTTTGAGCAGCGTACCCGTTCTGAATGGCGGCTCGCGGGTCCTTGCTGCTGCGCACTCGGATCATGATCACGGAGAAGAGGAAGAAGAAGCAGGCCATGGCGAAACACATCCTGTACACGGACTTATAGCCCACGATTATACTGCAGTTCACCTTTCCATGGAAACCAGGTATGGATGTGCCCTTTTCACAAAACCCAGGAATCTGTAGAGCAGAAACAGAGTTAAACAGGAGCAGATGAGTTAAAACCCTCGTTAATGTCTTACATCAATAATCTCTCATTCTCCCTAATTATTTTCATTATTATTATTATTATTATTATTATTATTATTATCACTATAGCTATTTTTAAAAGCTGTTCAAAGTTGAGGTTAACTGTGCAGGGTTGCTACTGAAAAGTATTCTTCATTGTGTAAACACTACCGTGCACTCTTGTAGTGAGGTCATCCTACAGAAACGTCCATTTTTGTGTCCCTAGCGTTTACAGATATATTACACTTGATAAACATGTTAGAGTTACAATCTATTTATATTTTTTAAATAAAACAATTAGTTATTTTAACAATTACAGCTTCTTGAGCCTCAATTTAGCAATATTGGTTTCCAAGCACCTCAGAAGAGCTCGTCCCCACAGTCATGTGTGAAGGCTGAGGCCATATTTTGAGGTAAAAACACATTTTTCTGCAATTTTAACTGCAATAATCTATACACGACTATGGAATATATGATTTAAATGACGAAGAAAACAAATGGCAAATAAATATTATAAAATATATCATGAAAGTTGTGGTCCCCAGGAGTCGTGTCACTGGTGTTACCGCATAACAAAAATCTCTTATTTTGAAATAAAAGTCACACTGATGACATCACTCGACTTTCTTTTACCTGTTTTCTGAGGATCTAGGAAGAAAAGCTCATGGTGAGTCCACTGTGTCTTTCAGTTATCAGAGATTTTCTCGTTCAGCTCATGATTTCATATGGAGCTTTTAGCTGAAGTCACTGGTGTGACCGACTTTATTCTGACGTAATTGTGAAAAAATAGAATACAAATGGATTAAATTCCATATTTTAGTGGATATTCCCTGATTGACAACATGTTGTTTGATGCTCTGTAGCAGTTATTTAGTAAAATGCATTGTTCATTAAAATGTCTCTGGTGTTCCTTTATTATGTGTAACACCAATGAGGATCAGTAACACCAGTGACTCCTATGGAGAGACAGAAAGTGGACGTTTCTGCAGAATGACCCAGCTTCTTCTGTTTCTTGTATGAAAGCAGTGTTTAGTTGTTTTCTCTTCTGCAGCCTTTCCTCATATCAATTTTACCCCTTCACTCATCCTCAGTTCCGTTCTGCAGCTTGTAGTTGGTGCCTATAATAATCTTAACTGTCTGCTGTGTCTAAGTTCAGCACGCTGTTCCAGGCTTGTGAAGTTAAGTTAGATTGGCTCTGTGAGCTGATTAGTTCTCTTTCGCCAAGCTTAACAGTTATTTTAATTCTGTTTTGTCCAACAGACTGAAACAAAGAGTAAAAATGGAAACCCTCACAAAGTAAAAATCAGTGCCAACACTGCACAGCACTGCAGGGAGCACTCAAGATCTGCGGCACACGTCCAACAATACGCCCGCTTTGTATAAACACTACACTGATTAACGAAGGGAGCGTCTGCAGGCAGCACTCAGCGGCGCGGTTTCGTCTACAACGGGGTCGCAAGCCAAACGTTAAGAAGAGCCATTCTGGCCTTTCAACAAAAATCAAACCACCTTGAGAGCCACAACATTTTATGTCCGTTTAACATCTCGGCTGTAAACATGTCAGTGTGTGCTGATGTACTAGTAGAGGCTAAAAATATAATATAAATGAAAACACAGACTTACTTAAAGCTCTGCTTTAAGCTTTTCTCGCATCTCCGGCAGGAAACCAAATGTATTTTTTTTCTTTTTTCTACTTGTTTTTAGTGACTTCATCAAGTAAAATGATCTCACTATATTATCTCACACAGTGACAGTGTTTGTGCCCTGAAAGTTGCAGTTTTTGTCTGAATGTGAAAGATAAACATATATAATTGTGTTTGCTTTTATAGGCCTACATGACAGATGAACAGCATAATGACTAAGCTATATAATAGATAAAAGACACAATATAGCAGAATATCTAGGCTAGATAACAGACAAAAGGCATAATATAGCATAATAATTAAAAGTAAATAATAGATAACAGGCTTAATATACCACATTAACTAGGGTAAATAATAGATAAAAGGGTTAATATACCATAATAGCTCAGCTATAGCCGCTTTTCTCACATCTCTGGCAGGAAACGAATGTGTTTTTTTTTTCTTTTTTCTACTTGTTTATGTGACTTCATCAAGTAAAATGATCTCACTACATTGTCTCACCACAGTGACAGTGTTTGTGCCCTGAAAGTTGTGGTTTTTGTCTGAATGTAAAAGACAAACATATATAATTGTATTCACTTTTATAGGCCTGTGTAGAAAAAGCTTCTCGGAAAATGCTAACAGCCATACATTGGAGCAACACAAGCAGCTTTTAGTATTTAACTGGTTTTATTTTGCATTTTATGTCCATACCATGCAGTCCTACTGTTTTATTTAATGTACTGTGAGGCACTTTGAACTCTAATTGTATGTCTGAAAGGCACTGCATACAGAAGCTCTTACTATTATTATTATTATGGTTATTATTATTATTATTCTTAAGTGTGTACCTTTTCCAGCTGAGCCTCCATACCAGGCATAATCATGATGATGGACACCAGGGTGCCGAGCAGCATAAAGAAAGAAAAAGCCAGACGGGTTACGGTGGAGTTGTAAGTGGAAGGGCAGCATCCTGACAGAAGGCACGGAGCCGAGCCACACAGACACGACGCCTACAGGACAGACAGACATTAACAGGCCAGTTACAACAGAGGAATAGCACAATTTAACATAGTCGTTAGGCTACATAAAGTGTATGTATATCACTGCTGTCAGGACAAAACCTTGTCTATCTATTTTTTGTCCTTATTTCAGTTTCTGACATAATTTGAAAATTCCTTTGACTTACATTAAAAGTAAAGTATGTTTCTCCTGTAAAGTTCTCATTTCTGAGATACAAGGTTTTCTCCAAAAGCAGCGACATAGACATATATATAGATAAATACAATGGCTAGAATTTATAACAGATAAATATAGTGGCTAGTCTATTTAACAGATGAATTTCACTATATAGCAGATTAATAGCACAATGCAGCTTAATTGTTAAGTCTTGTAATACTGAAATAGTACAATATAGCACAGTAATTAGGCTACATGACAAATGAACAGCATAATGACTAAGTTATATAATACATAAACAACACAATATAGCAGAATATCTAGGCTAGATAATAGATAAAGGCATAATATAGCATAATAACTAAGGTAAATAACAGAGTAAAGGCTTAATATATTAGAATAATTGCGCTACATAATAGATAAAAGGCATAGTATAGCATAATAATTAGGGTAAATAACAGATAATAGGCTTAATATACCATAATAACTAGGTTAAATAATAGATACAGAACATGCACTCAATAATCCGATCATAATCAGATTTCTGCAGTTATCCGATTATTCAAATGGTCATGTAAACACCATACTCAGATCTAGAAATCCGATTAAGACGCTGGATTTTAGTTCAGTAATCAGATTTCTCAGTGCATGTAAACTCTCACTCTGATTTCTATCGGATTTCTCACTCCGCACATGCACGAGATCAGACGGAAGATGTCGCAAGACGCAGCAAAGCACAGCTGGAGCGGCGCTGAAACCAAACGTGAAATAAAGGATTTGAATATTCTTCATCTTCTAGATGATGTTTGTTCATATTTTCAGCTAAAGTGGCGCGATGTTTAAAAAAAAAAACTGTGGTATGAAGTTTGAGCTTTACATTATGTTTAGGTCTCGTCTTCTTCTGTGGGCCCCCATATGAAAGAGATTATCACAATAACGATAAATATTGTCATATTGTCCAGCTCTACGTAGAACATGTAGCTTGGCAGATGTACTAGGCATAGCCAGAGCTGTTTAAGAGATTAAATGTATTTGAGAGTCACAAACATCTCTTGCCTGAACTGAGAGACAGATTTGTTTTTGACAGAAACTGCCATAAATGAAAAACCTATGAAGGCATTTTAGGGCCACGGTTAATAAAAATAAAAATAGTAGACTTTGAGAAAAAAGTCGTAATATTTCGAGAAAAGAGTCGTAGAATTCCGACATTAAAGTGGCATTAATACCAGGAAAGGTCAATATTGTGGCCAAAGTCTTTGCGAAGTGAAGGCAGCGCCTCCTGGTGTTAAATGAGGGGTGGTGAGTTTGTGGAGTTCTACTTTCATATCGATTCACCCATAAAGAAACACTCAGTCTCCCTGTCTCTCCTGCACATCAGCACCAGCCTGTTATTAGTATAAGAACCGGCTGAAACGGCTGAGCAGGAAACTGTGTTTATCTAGAATAAAGAGCCAGACGGACTCGGAGGAAACTGTCTGTCTGTGTTGTTGAAGGAGAATCTCAGGCAGGGTCGTCTACACGGCTATCGGGGGCTACATCTCCCCCCATTCAAAGAGGGCATGAAGTTTCACAGACAGTGAGAATGATGACCCCAACGCGTTATGGCAGCCCCCCTACAGTACAGCAACCGAGACCCCAACGCGTTATGGCAGCCCCCAACAGTTAGCCCCCCCTACAGTTAGCCCACTTTATCCTCCAAATATTACGACTTTATTCTCAAAATATCACGACTTTTTTTCTCAAAATATCACGACTGTATTCTCAAAAATTACGACTTTTTTCTCAAAATATCACCACTTTATTCTCAAAATATTATGACCTTATTCTCAAAATATCACGACTTTTTTTCTCAAAATATCACGACTTTTTTCTCAAAATATCCCGACTTTATTCTCAAAATATTACGACTTTATTCTCAAAATATTACGACTTTATTCTCAAAATATCACGACTTTTTTCTCAAAATATCACGACTTTTTTCTCAAAATATCACGACTTATTTCTCAAAATATTACGACTTTATTCTCAAAATATCACGACTTTATTCTTAAAATATCACGACTTTATTCTCAAAATATTACGACTTTACTATTTTTATTTTTATTAAGTGGTCCTAAAACGCCGTGGTAAAAACCTGCCGCTGCGTCGTATAAACTAAATCAGTGACTCTGTTTTTGACACAGCGCTGTCGAAACATTAAAGCTGTTGAGCTTTGAGTTATTTCAGTTTAGTAACATATCTGAGTTACACTCTGATCATAAACATCATATAATCGTATGACCCAAAACCGGAAAAACCAGAGTTAGCTAACTTAGTTAGCCAGGTTAACTGGACAGCGGACTCCGCTCCGGCAGAGATAACAGACCGAGATAACTCACTATGTCGAATAAACATACACAGAAATGTTACACAGTCTTTAAAAAGCTACTCACGCAGCTCGCCAGAGAGCACAAAGCCATACAAGCCCCCATTTTCACACAAACACGACCACAACAAACTCCTCAGACTGCGCCGAACTACTGGGGCACAACACGGAAGCGCCCTCAGCGCCAGACTCTCGATGAGCCGAAACTCAACAGCTCAACGCTGATTGGTTGGCCGGCCTCAGCGCTTTGAAAATGAACCAATCAGATTGAACTGCACCCAAGCTGCTGTGCAAGGCGTGCCCTCTGAAATCTTAGAGATACACTCGTAGCAAAAAAAAAGGTTCTATATGGTACCAAAAGAAGGTTTTACGACTTGTAACACTGGCAGAACCCTTTTGGAGCTTTAAAGAACCATCCCAGTTCTATATAAAACCACTGACATTGCAAAAGAACCCTTGAAGTACACTCTTAAAAAAGATGAACCCGTAAAGAATCTTTTTTCAAAGTTTACTTTAAGTGTACTTTAGTAAACTGAATGTTCTACATTACTGTGAACACTCAAAGAACCATATGAATGCCTGAATGGATCTTTGATTGTGTTTTATTCAATGTGTTTCTTTAAAAATGGTTCTGTCACTGTTATATTGTGTTTCAATGGTTCTTTAGTAAAAGGAATGTTTCAGTTTAGAACCATGAGTAATACATAAGACCATTTCCTTCTTAAAGAATTCTCTGTGTGGTGAAATGGTTCTTCAGGTCAATGGAGAATGTGTTCAATATGGTTCTATATAGAAGCTTTTTGAAAAGGGTTCTATGTAGCACCAAAACAGTTCTGTTACTGTTTACAAGCTTGACAACAATGGAAGGACCCTTTTTGGTGCTATATAGAAACAATCAAATAATGATAATATTATAGAGACAAACTGATTGAATGCATGCCAGTCATGACTGGTTCCCATCTGAGCTAAAGTCCTATGCAGTGTTGACCATCTAAAGGGGCCACTTCTGGAATTACTTAGTTCATTGTGGACAGTCCATTATCGGCCCAGCACATAATAAGCAAGTTATCAAGCTTAAAAAATCAATTAAGTGTTTGGCAACTACTTTAAATTTTGAAGTATTATTAGCCAACATAAAGAATGCGCACAAACCTTTCACTTTATGTTGGATCTGTTATTGCTACTTTCATGTGTTTAATTTTGTTTATTTAATTTTAATTGAAAGTTCTTCTCTTACTTAAACTGTCTATGAAACACTCTGAGCTGCCACTGGTTTAAAGATGGTTCTGCAAAAAAAGGTCATGGTCTTGTCAAGTGAAATTTTCTTAAATGTAGTCGATATGTCTGGTATTTCCCATTTTGAGATTGTTGTAAGCTTATTATAAGATTATTTCACTTAATACTTTATTTATAGACATTTTGGCTTGTTTTAGTGATTTTAGTAAGTCAAATTATCTCACTATGTTGTCAGATAATTTTGCTTGTTGTTAGATATGTGCTTGAAGCAAGAATTATTACCAGAGTGAAATAATTTGACTCCCTGGGCAGTCGTGGGCTGGAGGTTAGGGAACCAGCAATGTGGTTCCCTAACCTCCGGTTTGATCCCCAGAGCCGACAGTACGTGACTGAAGTGCCCTTGAGCATTTAACCCCCAACTGCTTCCCAGGCGCCGTGGATAGGGCTGCCCACCGCTCGGGGCAAGTGTGCTCACTGCCCCCTAGTGCGTGTTTACTAGTATGTATGTGGTGTTTCACTGCACAGATGGGTCAAAATGTGGAGGTGAAATTTCCCCGTTGTGGGATTAATAAAAGGTCTCTTAAATTAATTAATCAACCTTTATTTAAACTCGGGGTACATTGAGGGAGATCCTCGTTTACAATATAATTGAGCCAATACAGAAATCAGGGATTGAAAAATTGGATTGTATAAACAAATCAAAGGCTGAAAAGTAATAACAATGATAGTAAATTAAAAAAAAAAAAATCAATAAACCATTAAAATTGCAACAATATAGTAACTTGATAAATAACAGATCAAATGAGTAAGGAGAAGTTAAAATAAATAAAAAACATAATCGATGAAATACATAAAGGAGTAGAATAATAACTTGGCAATAAAAAAATAAATATTATAAATAAAAATAGTGAAACAATAGCTAAAACATACTGAAGTCATATCTTAAAGTTAACTAAAGTCACTTAAAACAGGTAAAGGAATAAGGTAGGTCTAGGAATAAGTTAAATAATCTTATAATAGGCTTAAAACAACCTCAACATGAGGAATATTAGATATATCGATATCATTATAAGATAATTTCACTTGACGAGACACCATTTTGCAATAAACTTGGTGTTACTATTGTTATTAATATTTAAAAGCAGCCAGGTTATTTACTTCTTGATAACACCAAATCATTTCTCCAGTGTGAACAGACATGAAGGTCACTGCAGAGAGAGCATGAGAGATATATCTCTGAGCCGTGGCTGGGAGGGAGACTGGAGGGGTCCTGGCAGACGTGCTCCGCTCTCGACTGGAGAACATCACAGCAGAAATCAGACAGATGTTCTAAGTTGTGTCTTCAAGGTCAAAATCAGCTCAAGAGAGTTTCTCCAGATCATCCAGCAGCACTAATTACAGTCAGAGATACTCAGTGATGCATTCAAACAACACGGTGGCTCTGAAGAATCCAGTGTGTGAGGTGTAAACAGAGAGATTCAGAGTGGTTTGGTGTGAAATGGTTCAGATGTCTTTACAGTGGTGGAGATAGGAACCAGGGGTCGCCATGACTACAACACAGATATAGACATTTTATTTACTATCCAGAACCACCAGTGAACCTACACGAGTCTTCTGAGTTTATATGGAATGTTGATGATGGAAAATAGTGGAAAATCTGGAATAATAAGTTTTCTTTGGGGACTATTTTGCCTCACAGCGCCCTGCATGTATCCCTCCACCATGAATTCTGGGAGAATATTTACAGATTATACTGTATCAAACACCTTATTATGATTGTAGTAATATATTGATTATACAGCAAAACATACAGCATCACCAGCTTTACTGTAAAACCACACTCTTAAAATAGATGGTTCTTCAGGGTTCTTTAATCAAAGGAATGGTTCTGTTTAGAGCCATAAGTTCTATGTTCTATTGCTCTACATAGAACATTTATGAAAATGGTTCAACGTAGCACCAAAAAGGTTCATGTACACTCTTAAAAAAGATGGTTCTTCAAGGGTCCTTTAATCAAGGGAATGGTTCTGTTTAGAGCCATAAATCCTATGTTCTATGGCTCTACATAGAACCTTTATGAAAATGGTTCTATGTAGCACCAAAAGGGGTTCATCCACACTCTTAAAAAAGATGGTTCTTCAAGGGTCCTTCAGTGAAGAAAATGGTTCTATATAGAACCAGGAACACTCAAAGAACCCATTGCATGATTAAAGGGTTCTTTGCATCGTGAAAGGGTTTCTCAGTTTGATGGATAATGTGTTGCAGATGGTTCTTCTGAAAAGGGTTCTATATAGCACTAAAAAGGGTTCCACTATTTTTACAAGCCAAATAACCATTTTGGGTACTATATAGAACCCTTTTTGCTAAGAGTGTATTGTATACAAGCTTGACATTGTAACAGTAGAAGAACCCTTTTTGGTCTCCGTCAGTCTGAGGAACCAATTCACCATGCAAAGAACCATTTAAGCATGAAATGGCTCTATATAGGACAGAACTATGGCCTTTACTACAGAACCCTTGAAGAACCATCTTCTTTAAGTGTGTACATGAAGTCCAGTCTGTGGTGCTTATGTAATCCGCTGTGTAACGTGACTTCCACCTGACGTTCCTGGTGAATCATCACTTCCTGAGAACCCGTGTGATTCATTAATGAGTGAGTTTGAAGGAGATGCACGACTTCAGCATGTCGGCTTTTGTAGACGTTCAAAAGCCATTTTAATTTGAGTTCTTACACAAGCTGACCTGCTGTACAGGCCGAGGTCTCCTCTCAGTAATGGCTTTCCTTTGTGTTTGTATCATTAAGAGGAAAGTGATTCATGGGAATAAACTAGTACTAGATGTTTTGGTTGGCTTATTAAAGCTACAGCTGGACAGACTGATCATCCAGACTCAAACACCAAGGCCCAGTCCCATTTCACCCCTCGCCCCTAACACTGAGCCCTTAGCCCTCTGATTTGCGTGTTCACGTCTAGGGGTAGGGTGTCCTGATTCTTGTTGAGATAGAGGGGGAGGGGGAAGTGTTGGGGCTACATGACCCTCCCAACAGAGGTTTTTCAGAGACTCCAAACAGAGTGATATGAGAAAAAAAGAAAAACTGGCCCGACGGAGCACAAGAGACCAAATAAACCCACAAATGAGAGAATTTTCTCTGTTAAAAAATCACGATAATCACTGTATTTTCTTAGTTTAATGTCGTTTCAGTGTATTAAGGTCGTTTTCTTCATAACAAGCACACAAAATCACTAATACCATGCTAATGTCTCGGTAGCTAGCTAATTAACTTTCCCGTTCCACCTTAAATAGTCCAGTAGTTTTGACGCCTGAAGCTCCAGAATGTAACTGCGGGTTGTCATCACTGCAGAACGAAATGTCCAGGGGATGTGGCTGGATCTGATCCAACTCCTCCCACGTTGTGTTTTAATTGGTCTGAACTAGAGTGGAGCTGATAAAATGGACAATGAGTGTAGAAATAAGGTACAATGAGCTAATACAGTGGCTTATCAGGGTTTATGACATTTAATCTGATTTTATTTAGGTATACTGAGTCATTTTTATTAGGCTTATGGAAATGTGTGGCAGTAATACCAAATCCTTTTAAATGTAAAAAAAGTCATTATAAATATTTTTTATTATGAAATTCCAGGATTTAATTGATAAACACAGTTATGTGGGTTATTTTGAGCTGTCATATGTGCATCCTAGTGTTTAAAAACGTTCATTGTTTTTTAGAACCCGTCTATCATAAGTATGCTTGAGATGTTGGTCTACAGAACGGACTTTGTACCGGAATGTGAAAAAAGCTTTTTGAGTTTTGACAAATGAGTGTGAACATCGTGAATCGTGAGCGGTTATAAAGGCCGTGTTGCGGCTTTCAGGGCGGAGCAACATCGAGAAAATAAACAAAGGCACCAGCAACACCTGCGGGTTCCCCACGGAGAAAAACG